CCTTTAAGGACTAAGCTACTCTTATATAGGAGCTACACCATATAGTGGATCAGTATGGAACATTTTGAACACAAAAAGGAAATTTGAAGTTTCAATTTATTTGATTAAAAATACGGAAACACATGAGGTATATGGGGTACCCATACAGAAATCAAACCTTATTCAATAAAAAATGTGTCTGAAAACTTCACAACGGGGAAAAATATAGAGCTAAATTTTGTAGTCAATACAAAAACTAGAACGGATAAATCTAATTTTCCGCACCAATCGTCCCAATACCAATTTTTAATCAAATTTTTTTTATACTTGAGAATCATGTAGACACCCACTTGTTAATAAATAAACTTGAGCTATAAAAAAAATATTTCTCTAAAATTCCAATTAAATTGATTTTAAGTGACATTGACTCAAATATCTTGACAATCTCCTAAAATCTTATTAAACTGGAAATTATGAAATTACACCACCTTCTCTACAAAAGGACACTGTTTTTGTATAGGAAACCCAAAATTACCTGTCTAATCTGTCGCAAATAATTGACACTCATTGATAAAGGTCCAAACACACACTCTTCCTTTAACAAACGACCCATTCGTTATTATCGATTCCAAGAAAACGCAATTTTTAGAGGAAAACAATAATAGCAGGAACAGGAACGGGGTCGGGGTCGGGGACAGCAAATTCAATCAACCAATGTCTTTTGTGTTTTTTTTTTCCGAGAAAATCAATTACAGAATATCTTTCAAAGTGACACTGTACCCTGATAAGGGTTAAGTGTCGTCGTCAAATACAAATATTTCAAATAAATTTTACACTCTACGTGAAAGAGTGAAATATCTCTTATATAACCTTTATTAAATCTCCAGGAAAATTAGAATGAAGAAAATAATTAGTGGGGAGCAGAATTGAATTTCACAGTAATTACAACAAGCTAACAAGTCGATGGTGTTGGCGCACACACACTCATGCAAAGAAACTTATATATTGGAATCGTATGGTGTTGTGTGGCGGAAAATTATAGAGAAAAAGGTGGACAAGAACATTTACACACATCCATACATGCAAACACTTCTATCCTATAAAGAAATTATCTCAACCGGATGTTGGCTGTGTGTGTGTGCTGCCTTGTCAGGTGGAAGTTTGAATAGCCACAGGTTACCGGAAGTCACTTATACTTAGATTAAATTGTCTATGCTTCGTGTTACTCAGCTATTTTATCAGACTGAAATTGAGTTACGGAAGCACAGGTAAAAGTTTTTGTTTGAAAACAAGTTATAAAACCCGCAAACCCTGGCACAGCGCCCAGATATTTTCGAATTTTCTGCTAACGAGGATTTATTTTAAATAAATTGTAGATTAACAAGTAAGAAGGCGTTAAGTTCAGTTAAGCCGAACTGATGATAAGAAACAAACGTGAGCAGATAGTATTCGAGAACTGCAAATTCTAATAAAATATGTATTGAACCGTGTTAAACACCTTCGAAATTCGAGGCATAAGGACAGACATTTTTTTGTATTGGCTCTATAGCCTTGTCTGGACCTCAAATATGGAACTCAAGAAATGCAAAATTGCAGGCACTTCGGCAGAAAATGTCGAATAAAATCTTCAATATAAAAAATATTGGGTGGTATCGTCGCAAAGAGCTAAAGTCGAATCACATAAAAGTTGGAGTTACCAAGACAGTTCCTTGCAAACCCCTGGGAACCCAAGATGTCAATATACAGGGTGAGATAAAAAAAACTCCAACAAAATCAAACGCCATAATTTTTACATTTCTTTTTTTAATGTTATTGAATGAAAGCAAAAAATAGCATCAAATTTTGGAATAAGTTTTGATTTTTTCGAATTGGTCACCTTTGGCACGAATTATGGCCGGCGAAGCGGTTGCTTGAGGTGATCGACACTTTGGTATTTTTTAGTGCCAACCTTGCTTTCCAAACTACTCCAGACACAATAGTCCAACGGATTGGTATCCGGAGATTTCAGTGGCCATTGTGGGCTGGAAATGAAGCGCGGAACCTCATTTTGTAACCATTCTTGGGTGGCGCATGCTGAGTCCTATTGTAATGTCCGAGGTATGCGGCCAAAATGTTTGCGTGCCCAAGGCTTTAATATACTGACCTAGCATAGATGCAAATATTACAATTTGCAAAGCTAGAGCAAAATCCTTCTCCTTCTGTGCGGTAAATTATTTTCTTTGAAAATGTTAATGTTGTTTGGGGGAGGTATCAGAATGACCGCTATTGCCCATCTCCGAACTCGATCTAAGTTTGATAACGATATTTTGATATACCAAGTTTGGATAAAATCTGATACTTTTTAAAATCGGATACGTATTCAAATTTGTTCCAAATAGTACAGGGGTTTCAAGTGTCACAGTTCGCCCTGCTTATCCACCGGTTTGATTAATGACCATCTATCAATAATAGTCGCCGTAAGCAGTTCGTCCGATTTCATAACCTCTGAACACCGCATTTCCCTTAACCATGAGAAAGCTCACTGACCAGAATTTAGAGAATTCTTCAACCTTTGCTTCAGAGAACTGCACAATCAGTATGTTCCCAAACAATAGTTTCCCAGAACCGGGGTAAAAATACCTAGCTCCATTTAAAAATACCTTTTTTCAACAATACCAAATATTAACAAGTAAAAAATGGTGAATACCCTCCACCATTTGGAACGAATTTGGCAATGCTCAAAAACAATAAAATTCGTTAAAAATTCTGTTAAAATCTTAAAAACACCGAATGAAGCTATTATATTAGGGTCTATACGATGGCATGCAGGTAACATTTGTCATAAGCCATTACAATATTCAAATGCGAAACTTAAAAAAATCGGTAATAATGTCGCTAAAATCATAAAAATACCGAATATCGGGAGGTACCGTTATATGGGGGCTATACGAAGACATGGACCGGCACAGACAATTTTCTGTCTTAAGCTGTGGTATCCATTACGAACTGCAAATACCAAATTTGAAACAATTCCGGTGAATAATGTCGCTAAAATCATCAAATTACCGAATATCGGGAGGTACCGTTATATGGGGGCTATACCAAAACGTGGACCTACACGACCCATTTTCAATACCAAAAGTCCTGCAGACATAACATACATTTGAGTAAAATTTTATCAATCTATTTCATTTCGTTCTGATCCTAGAGTGATTTCCACAGACGGGCGGACATCGCTAAATCGACAATTTATGCTCATCAGAATTTTATGCTGATCAAGAATATATATACTTTGTGGGGTCCAATATGTATATTTCAAGGTTTTACAAACTGAATGACAAACTTAATATACCAACCATTCTATGCCAGTAAAAATATTTGCATGAGTCTACTTTGTGGTAGAATTTGGTACCTCCTCATATTTATCTCAAACTCATTTAGCTAATTACAAACATTTAATCCCGATTTTTTTTCAAACAAAAACTAAACCAAAATTGAAACAACCGAGATAACTCCCACGCACCAATGCAAAGATAGTCCCTTCATACTAGTTCCCAAAACCGTATAAAACAAACTTTTATTCCAAAAAAAAAAAAAAAAAAAACCCAGCCAACACGAGCAAAATATTTAAGACCCTTCCCAGAATTGGAGTGTGTAATGGACGTGTAAAATGGACGTGAAATATTATCAGATTGTGGGCGAAAATATTTGCGTAAAATCTAATCAACGCTAATTTTCAATAAAAAAGCGAAAGAGAATGAGAATGAAAAAGGTTAAAACAGATTTCAAATAATACAACATAATCATTGTGCCCAGAGATATTTAAATATAATTTACCCAAATTCCAATATTGAAATTCTAATGAATTAATTACAGGAAATTCGATCGCAAATACCTGAATATTATTTACACACTACAAAGCTTGTTGGAGCGACGATGGTAGGTATTTAAGCAATGAGTAGAATGGCTTTAAGGTTATTCTGATATTGTTGGTAAATGGTTGAAGGGAAGTAGTCATGTAATTATGGAAACTGTTGAAAAAAATTAAAATTAGTTAATATTTAAAAAAAATATATGCCCTACACAAGGGCCTCAAAAATTTGTTTGTAATCGTATGTGTTTTGAAATAACAACATATTGCAAGTGTTTTTTTTTTTTTTGTCTCTCTTTACACAGTGAGAAATAATTTGTTATCTGTAAGTTTTCTGTTATAAATTTTTCTCTATTCAAAACAACTCCAACTTTTACAATTTATTGTTTAAGTTTGCTTTTGGTCTTTTTTGGTTGGTGATATTGAAGAAAATTTGCCAAATTTGTAGATTCAGATATTTTTATGAATGCACCGAAAGAAATATTGGAGTACAAAAATATATATCTTACCAGATGTTTGAAACAAATATTTTTCTCTTTCTCTCTCTCTTTCTCTGTCCCTCCCTACATCTCTGTCGTGCTCTTTCTCTCTTGACCTGGGGGCATTGACCCCATACCAAGAGGTAGGTCATTGCCTATTAGAAGAGGTCATTGACCTCATGGCAAGAGGTGATGTGAAATTCTGTCAAACAGAAATCAATCAAAAAGATAAATCTTAACAGTTGTAATTTTTACAATTTCGGAAAGATTTGTTTCAAATATGCAGTAAGATATATTTATGTGCTCATCCCTCATCGACTACTCGAACAAAACTAAATATTTACTCAAAACCAATTTGCCAGAAAATTCAAAACAATTTATTTTTTACAATTGTGTTGGTGAAAATACAGATACCCCTTCGGATACTGCTTTAAAGGCATCCGTTTTTGAAAATTGTAGCTCTTTTAAATTAATATTTTTCAATGTGAGAAAGGAGAGGGTGATAGAGGAAGAGAGAGAGAGGGAGAGCGAGAGAAAAGACCCCAAGTCAAGAGAGAGAGGAAGGGAGAAAGAGAGAATGGAAGGGAGAGAGAGAGAAAAGGTCAATGACCTCTGACCTGGGGTCAATGACCAGGAAGAGAGAGAGAGAGAGAGAGAACGAAAGAGGAAGAGAGAGGGATAAAGAGAGAGAGAAGAATAAGAAGAGAGAGAGAAAAGGTCAATGACCTCTTGACCGGGGGTCAATCACCTTATGACTGAGGTCAATGACCTTTTGACCTGGGGTCATTGACCCCAGGAAGAGAGAGAGAGGGCGGGCGAGGAAGAGAGAGAGAGAGGAAGAGGAAGAGAGAGGAAGAGGAAGAGAACGAAAGAGGAAGAGAGAGAGAGAGGAAGAGAAAAGGATAAAGAGAGAGGAAGAGAGAGAAGAATAAGAAGGGAGAGAGAAAAGGTCAATGACCTCTTGACCGGGGGTCAATCACCTTTTGACCTGGGGTCAATGACCTTTTGACCTGGGATCATTGACCCCAGGAAGAGAGAGAGAGAGAGAGAGGAAGAGAGAGAAGAAGAAGAGAGAGAGGGAGAGAGAACAAGTCAATGACCTCTTGACCGGGGGTCAATGACCTTTTGACCTGGGGTCACTGACCCCAGAAGAAGAGAGGAAGGGAGAGAGAGGGGAAGAGAGAGAGAGAGAGAGGAAGACAGAGAGAGGAAGACAGAGAGAGGAAGGCAGAGAGAGGGGAAGAGAGAGAAAAGGTCAATGACCTCTTGACCTGGGGTCATTGACCCCAGGAAGAGAGAGGTAGAGAGAGAGAAAGGGGGAGGGAAAGAGGAAGATAGAGAAAGGAAGAGGAAGAGAGAGAAAGAGAGAGACAGAGAGAGAGGTAGAGAGAGAGAGAAAGAGATAGAGAAAAGGTCAATGACCTCTTGACCGGGGGTCAATGACCTTTTGATATGGGGTCAATGACCCCAGGAAGAGAGAGAGAGGGGAAGAGAGAGAGAGAGGAAGAGGAAAAGAGAGAAAAGAAGAGGAAGAGAGAGAGAGAGAGGACGAGAGAGAGAGAGAGGAAGAGAGAGGAAGAGGAAGGGAGAGGAAGAGGAAGAGAGAGAGAGAGAGGAAGAGAGAGAGAAAAGGTCAATGACCTCTGACCTGGGGTCAATGACCTCTTGGCATGGGGTCAATGACCTCTTGGCCTGGGGTCAATGACCTCTTGGCCTGGGGTCAATAATGACCCCAGGTCAGGGGGTCATTGACCTTTTCTCTCTCTCTCTTTCTCTCTCTCTTCCTCTTCCTCTCTCTTCCTCTTCCTCTTCCTCTCTCTCTCTCTCTTCCTCTTCCTCTCTCTTCCTCTTCCTCTCTCTCCCTCTCTCTTCCTCTTCCTCTCTCTTCCTCTTCCTCTCTTCCTCTCCCTCTCTCTCTCTCTCTCTCTCTTCCTCTCTCTCTCTCTTCCTCTCTCTCTCTTCCTTTCCCTCCCTCTTCCTCTCTCTCTTCCTCTTCCCCTCTCTCTCTTCCTCTTCCTCTCTCTCTCTTCCTCTCCCTCATCCACTCTCTCTCTTCCTCTTCCTCTCTCTCTGTCTCTTCCTCTTTCTCTGCCCCTTTGTCTCTCTCTTCCTTTTTCTCTCCCCCTTTGTGACTCTCTTCCTCTTTCTCTCCCCCTTTGTCTCCCTCTTCCTCTCTCTCTCTATCTCTTCCTGGGGTCAATGACCCCAGGTCAAAAGGTCATTGACCCCCGGTCAAGAGGTCATTGACCTTTTCTCTCTCTTCCCCTCTATCTCTCTGTCTTCCTCTCTCTCTCTTCCCCTCTCTCCCTTCCTCTCTCCTTCTGGGGTCAGTGACCCCAGGTCAGGGGGTCATTGACCTTTTCTCTCTCTCTCTTTCCCTCTCTCTTCCTCTTCCTCTCTCTCTCTCTTCCTCTTCATCTTTTCCTCTTCCTCTCTCTCTCTCTTCCTCTTCATCTTCCTCTTTTCCTCTTCCTCTCTCTCTCTCTCTTCCTCTCTCTCTCTTCCTCTTCCTCTCTCTCTCTTCCTCTTCCTCTCTCTCTCTTCCTCTTCCTCTCTCTCTCTTCCTCTTCCTCTCTCTCTCTCTTCCTATCTCTCTCTTCCTCTTCCTCTCTCTCTTTTCCTCTTTCTCTCTCTCACTTTTCCTCTTCCTCTCTCTCTCTATTTTCCTCTCTCTTCCTCTCTCTCTCCCCATTTCTCTCTCTTCCCCTCTCTCTCTCTTCCTAGGGTCATTGACCCCATATCAAAAGGTCATTGACCCCCGGTCAAGAGGTCATTGACCTTTTCTCTCTCCCTCTCTCTCTCTTCTTCTTCTCTCTCTTACTCTCTCTCTCTCTCTCTTCCTCTCTCTCTCTTCCTATTTCGTTCTCTCTCTCTTCCTATTTCGTTCTCTCTCTCTTCCTATTTCGTTCTCTCTCTCTTCCTATTTCGTTCTCTCTCTCTTCCTCTTCCTTTCTCTCTCTTCCTCTTTCTCTCCCCCTTTCTCTCTCTCTACCACTCTCTGTCTCTCTCTCTCTCTTCCTCTTCCTTTCTCTCTCTTCCTCTTTCTCTCTCTCTACCTATCTCTGTCCCTCTCTTCCTGGGGTCAATGACCCCAGGTCAAGAGGTCATTGACCTTTTCTCTCTCTTCCCCTCTCTCTCCCTTCCTCTCTCCTTCTGGGGTCAGTGACCCCAGGTCAAAAGGTCATTGACCCTCTGTCAAGAGGTCATTGACCTTTTCTCTCCCTTCTTATTCTTCTCTCTCTTCCTCTCTCTTTATCCTTTTCTCTTCCTCTTCCTCTCTCTTCCTCTTCCTCTCTATCTTCCTCTCTCTCTCTTCCTCGCCCCCTCTCTCTCTCTCTTCCTGGGGTCAATGACCCCAGGTCAAAAGGCCATTGACCCCAGGTCAAAAGGTGATTGACCCCCGGTCAAGAGGTCATTGACCTTTTCTCTCTCTCTTCTTATTCTTCTCTCTCTCTCTTCCTCTCTCTTTATCCCTCTCTCTTCCTCTTTCGTTCTCCCTCTCTCTCTCTCTTCCTAGTCATTGACCCCAGGTCAGAGGTCATTGACCTTTTCTCTCTCTCTCCCTTCCATTCTCTCTTTCTCCCCTCCTCTCTCTCTTGACTTGGGGTCTTTTCTCTCGCTCTCCCTCTCTCTCTTCCTTTATCACCCTCTCCTTTCTCACATTGAAAAATATTAATTTAAAAGAGCTACAAATTTCAAAAACGGATGCCTTTAAAGCAGTATCCGAAGGGGTATCTGTATTTTCACCAACACAATTGTAAAAAATAAATTGTTTTGAATTTTCTGGCAAATTGGTTTTGAGTGAATATTTAGTTTTGTTCGAGTAGTCGATAAGGGATGAGCACATAAATATATCTTACTGCATATTTGAAACAAATCTTTCCGAAATTGTAAAAATTACAATTGTTAAGATTTATCTTTTTGATTGATTTCTGTTTGACAGAATTTCACATCACCTCTTGCCATGAGGTCAACGACCTCTTCTAATAGGCAATGACCTACCTCTTGGTATGGGGTCAATGCCCCCATGTCAAGAGAGAAAGAGCACGACAGAGATGTAGGGAGGGACAGAGAAAGAGAGAGAGAAAGAGAAAAATATTTGTTTCAAATATCTGGTAAGATATATATTTTTGTACTCCAATATTTCTTTCGGTGCATTCATAAAAATATCCGAATCTACAAATTTGGCAAATTTTCTTCAATATCACCAACCAAAAAATACCAAAAGCAAACTTAAACAATAAATTGTAAAAGTTGGAGTTGTTTTGAATAGAGAAAAATTTATAACAGAAAACTTACAGATAACAAATTATTTCTCACTGTGTAAAGAGAGTCAAAAAAACTTGCAATATTTTGTTATTTTAAAACAAGGCTAGGCAAAGAGTATCCCTTGGGATATCTGTGTGTTCACCAACACAATTCTAAAAAAATAAATTGTTTTGAATTTTCTGTCAAATTGGTTTTGAGAGAATATTTAGTTTTGTTCGAGCAGTCGATAAGGAAGGTGCTGTCGGATATTTTTATGAATACACTGTAAGAAATATTGGAGCACAAATATATCTTACTACATATTTGAAACAAATATTTCCGAAATTGTAAAAATAACAACTGTTAGGATTATCTTTTTCGATTGAATTCTATTTGACAGAATTTGTATACGAATTCACATGTTAGGAATATAAATTCATTTCATATTGATCGACAAATTTATTGTCCTTCCAAATTAGAGACATTTTTATATCCCTTGATTTCTATGAAATGATATATACGTTCTTGGTCAATATTGGGAAAAATAACAGGTTGTGATGTTTGTCATTCTGCTTGTGATTCATAGAAATAATCTTTTAGCACCCAACACAGGATATGAGTTTTTGATCAGAGTAAAATTCTACGACTATTTGCATATGTCTGTATGTCAGCCTGTGGTAATCGGTATTACTTTTTAAAGGGGCAACTTTGATGGTTATTAAACACAAATAACATCAAAATTATGTTAACTTATATATTTTTGAAGGACATTTATATTATTTTTTATACCCTCAACCGTAATATGGAGGGTAAATTAAGTTTGTTGTTCCGTTTGCAACACCTTGAAATATACATTTTGGACCCCACAAAGTATATATAATCATGATGAGCATAAAATTCTATTTCGATTTAGCGATGTCCGTCTGTCTGTCCGTATGTGGAAATCGCTCTAGCTTCCGAACGAAATGTAGTAGATTAATAAAATTTTGCTCAAATGTATATTATGTCTGCAGGACTTTTGGTATTGAAAATGGGCCATGTAGGTCCACGTTTTGGTATTGCCTCCATATAACGGTACCACCTGATAATCGGTATTTTGATGATTTTAGTTACATTATTCACCGTTTCTTTTATTCAAGTTTCGCATTTGAATATTGTAATGGTTTATGACAAAAGTTATCAATGCAGGTCCACGTCGTCGTTTTGACTCTAATATAACGGCAACATTCGAAATTTTTTAGATTTTAACAGAATTTTTAACGAATTTTTTTTTTCGAAAATTGCAAAATTCGTTCAGTGGAGTGTATTCAAAGTTTTGCCAGTCCGAACTTACAGCTCTTTTACTTGTTTTATATCAAATTAATCATAATTGAAATAATTGTGCAAACATATCTCCGAATTGTCTAATCAAAATATTAATTTTCAGCAACAAAGTTGTTTTGAAAACAGAAAATTTTAAATTGAAAATTTAAAGATAACAAATTATTTCTCACTCTGTAAAGAGAGGCAAAAAAGCACTTGCAATATTTTGTTATTTCAAAACACATACAATCACAAAAAATTTTTGAGGCTCTCTGCCTAGCCCTGTTTTAAAACAAGGCTAGGCAAAGAGTATCCCTTGGGATATCTGTGTGTTCACCAACACAATTCTAAAAAAATAAATTGTTTTGAATTTTCTGTCAAATTGGTTTTGAGAGAATATTTAGTTTTGTTCGAGCAGTCGATAAGGAAGGTGCTGTCGGATATTTTTATGAATACACTGTAAGAAATATTGGAGCACAAATATATCTTACTACATATTTGAAACAAATATTTCCGAAATTGTAAAAATAACAACTGTTAGGATTATCTTTTTCGATTGAATTCTATTTGACAGAATTTGTATACGAATTCACATGTTAGGAATATAAATTCATTTCATATTGATCGACAAATTTATTGTCCTTCCAAATTAGAGACATTTTTATATCCCTTGATTTCTATGAAATGATATATACGTTCTTGGTCAATATTGGGAAAAATAACAGGTTGTGATGTTTGTCATTCTGCTTGTGATTCATAGAAATAATCTTTTAGCACCCAACACAGGATATGAGTTTTTGATCAGAGTAAAATTCTACGACTATTTGCATATGTCTGTATGTCAGCCTGTGGTAATCGGTATTACTTTTTAAAGGGGCAACTTTGATGGTTATTAAACACAAATAACATCAAAATTATGTTAACTTATATATTTTTGAAGGACATTTATATTATTTTTTATACCCTCAACCGTAATATGGAGGGTAAATTAAGTTTGTTGTTCCGTTTGCAACACCTTGAAATATACATTTTGGACCCCACAAAGTATATATAATCATGATGAGCATAAAATTCTATTTCGATTTAGCGATGTCCGTCTGTCTGTCCGTATGTGGAAATCGCTCTAGCTTCCGAACGAAATGTAGTAGATTAATAAAATTTTGCTCAAATGTATATTATGTCTGCAGGACTTTTGGTATTGAAAATGGGCCATGTAGGTCCACGTTTTGGTATTGCCTCCATATAACGGTACCACCTGATAATCGGTATTTTGATGATTTTAGTTACATTATTCACCGTTTCTTTTATTCAAGTTTCGCATTTGAATATTGTAATGGTTTATGACAAAAGTTATCAATGCAGGTCCACGTCGTCGTTTTGACTCTAATATAACGGCAACATTCGAAATTTTTTAGATTTTAACAGAATTTTTAACGAATTTTTTTTTTCGAAAATTGCAAAATTCGTTCAGTGGAGTGTATTCAAAGTTTTGCCAGTCCGAACTTACAGCTCTTTTACTTGTTTTATATCAAATTAATCATAATTGAAATAATTGTGCAAACATATCTCCGAATTGTCTAATCAAAATATTAATTTTCAGCAACAAAGTTGTTTTGAAAACAGAAAATTTTAAATTGAAAATTTAAAGATAACAAATTATTTCTCACTCTGTAAAGAGAGGCAAAAAAGCACTTGCAATATTTTGTTATTTCAAAACACATACAATCACAAAAAATTTTTGAGGCTCTCTGCCTAGCCCTGTTTTAAAACAAGGCTAGGCAAAGAGTATTCCTTGGGATATCTGTGTGTTCACCAACACAATTGTAAAAAATAAATTGTTGTGAATTTCCTGTCAAATTGGTTTTGGGAGAATATTTAGTTTTGTTCGAACAGTCGATGAGGAAGGTGCTGTCGGACATTTTTTGAATACACTGTAAGAAATATTGGAGCACATAAATATATCTTACTACATATTTCAAACAAATATTTCCGAAATTGTAAAAATTACAACTATTGACATTTAACTTTTCTGATTGAATTCTATTTGACAAAATTTGCATACGAATTCACATGTTAGGAATAGAAATTCATTTCATATTGTTAGATAAATTTATTGTCCTTCCAAATTAGTGGACATTTTCATATCCTTTGATTTCTCTGAAATTATATGTACGTTCTTAGTCAATTTTAGGAAAAATAGCAAGATGCAATGTTTATCATTCTGTTTGTAATTCATATAAATAATCTTTTAGAACCCAACGCAGGATATGAGTTTCTGATCAGCATAAAATTCTACGACTATTTGCGTATGCCAGCCTGTGGAAATCGGAATCGGATTTTTAAAGGGTCAACATAGATGGTTATCAGAATTATATAAAATTTCTGAAATGTCAACTTATATATTTTTTAATATTAAAATGAATCATAATTGAAACAATTCTAACAATGTATCTCCGAATTGTCTGTCAAAATATTAATTTTTTACAACAAAGTTGTTTTGAAAACAGAAAATTCTAAATTGAAAATTTAAAGATAATAAATTATTTCTCACTCTGTAAAGAGAGGCAAAAAAACACTTGCAATATTTTGTCATTTCAAAACACATACAATCACAAAAAATTTTTGAGGCTCTCTGCCTTGCCCTGTTTTAAAACACAAAGTCACAAAAATTTTTTTGAGGCTCTGTGCCTTCCCCTTGTGTAGGGCATAATTTTTTTAAATCTTAACTAATTTTAATTTTTTTCAACGGTTTCCATAATTGCAACACTACTTTTCCTCAACCATTTACCAATAATATTAGAATAACCTTAAAGCCAGAGAGAGAGAGAGAGAGAGACCAGGAAGAGAGAGAGAGAGGGAGAACGAAAGAGGAAGAGAGAGGGATAAAGAGAGAGGAAGAGAGAGAGAGAAGAATAAGAAGAGAGAGAGAAAAGGTCAATGACCTCTTGACCGGGGGTCAATCACCTTTTGACCTGGGGTCAATGGCCTTTTGACCTGGGGTCATTGACCCCAGGAAGAGAGAGAGAGAGGGGGCGAGGAAGAGAGAGAGAGGAAGATAGAGAGGAAGAGGAAGAGAGAGGAAGAGGAAGAGAAAAGGATAAAGAGAGAGGAAGAGAGAGAAGAATAAGAAGGGAGAGAAAAGGTCAATGACCTCTTGACAGAGGGTCAATGACCTTTTGACCTGGGGTCACTGACCCCAGAAGGAGAGAGGAAGGGAGAGAGAGGGGAAGAGAGAGAAAAGGTCAATGACCTCTTGACCTGGGGTCATTGACCCCAGGAAGAGAGGGACAGAGATAGGTAGAGAGAGAGAGAAAGAGGAAGAGAGAGAAAGGAAGAGGAAGAGAGAGAGAGAGACAGAGAGTGGTAGAGAGAGAGAAAGGGGGAGAGAAAGAGGAAGAGAGAGAAAGGAAGAGGAAGAGAGAGAGAACGAAATAGGAAGAGAGAGAGAACGAAATAGGAAGAGAGAGAGAACGAAATAGGAAGAGAGAGAGAACGAAATAGGAAGAGAGAGAGAGGAAGAGAGAGAGAGAGAGTAAGAGAGAGAAGAAGAAGAGAGAGAGAGGGAGAGAGAAAAGGTCAATGACCTCTTGACCGGGGGTCAATGACCTTTTGATATGGGGTCAATGACCCTAGGAAGAGAGAGAGAGGGGAAGAGAGAGAAATGGGGAGAGAGAGAGGAAGAGAGAGGAAAATAGAGAGAGAGAGGAAGAGGAAAAGTGAGAGAGAGAAAGAGGAAAAGAGAGAGAGGAAGAGGAAGAGGAAGAGAGAGAGAGGAAGAGAGAGAGAGAGGAAGAGGAAGAGAGAGAGAGGAAGAGGAAGAGAGAGAGAGGAAGAGAGAGAGAGGAAGAGGAAGAGAGAGAGAGGAAGAGGAAGAGAGAGAGAGGAGAGAGAGAGAGAGGAAGAGAGAGGAAGAGGAAAAGAGGAAGATGAAGAGGAAGAGAGAGAGAGAGGAAGAGGAAAAGATGAAGAGGAAGAGAGAGGGAAAGAGAGAGAGAGAAAAGGTCAATGACCCCCTGACCTGGGGTCACTGACCCCAGAAGGAGAGAGGAAGGGAGAGAGGGGAAGAGAGAGAGAGGAAGACAGAGAGATAGAGGGGAAGAGAGAGAAAAGGTCAATGACCTCTTGACCTGGGGTCATTGACCCCAGGAAGAGAGGGACAGAGATAGGTAGAGAGAGAGAGAAAGAGGAAGAAAGAGAAAGGAAGAGGAAGAGAGAGAGAGACAGAGAGTGGTAGAGAGAGAGAAAGGGGGAGAGAAAGAGGAAGAGAGAGAAAGGAAGAGGAAGAGAGAGAGAACGAAATAGGAAGAGAGAGAGAACGAAATAGGAAGAGAGAGAGAGGAAGAGAGAGAGAGAAGAAGAAGAGAGAGAGAGGGAGAGAGAAAAGGTCAATGACCTCTTGACCGGGGGTCAATGACCTTTTGATATGGGGTCAATGACCCCAGGAAGAGAGAGAGAGGGGAAGAGAGAGAAATGGGGAGAGAGAGAGGAAGAGAGAGGAAAAGAGAGAGAGAGAGGAAGAGGAAAAGTGAGAGAGAGAAAGAGGAAAAGAGAGAGATGAAGAGGAAGAGATAGAGAGGAAGAGGAAGAGAGAGAGAGAGAGAGGAAGAGAGAGAGAGAGAAAGAGAGAGAGAGGAAGAGGAAGAGAGAGAGAGAGAGAAAGAGAGAGAGAAAAGGTCAATGACTCCCTGTCCTGGGGTCAATGACCTCTTGGCCTGGGGTCAATGACCTCTTGGCCTGGGGTCAATGAGAGGAAGAGGAAAAGAGAGAGAGAGAGAGAGAGGAAGAGGAAAAGAGAGAGAGAGAGAGAAGAGGAAGAGAGAGAGAGAGGAAGAGAGAGAGAAAAGGTCAATGACCTCTTGACCGGGGGTCAATGACCTTTTGATATGGGGTCAATGACCCCAGGAAGAGAGAGAGAGGGGAAGAGAGAGGAAAAGTGAGAGAGAGAAAGAGGAAAAGAGAGAGAGGAAGAGGAAGAGAGAGAGAGGAAGAGAGAGAGAGAAAGAGATAGAGAGAAAAGGTCAATGACCCCCTGTCCTGGGGTCAATGACCTCTTGGCCTGGGGTCAATGACCTCTTGGCCTGGGGTCAATGAGAGGAAGCGGAAAAGAGAGAGAGAGAGAGAGAGAGGAAGAGGAAAAGAGAGAGAGAGAGAGAGAGAGAAAGAGGAAGAGAGAGAGAGAGAGAGAAAGAGGAACAGAGAGAGAGAGAGGAAGAGAGAGAGAAAAGGTCAATGACCTCTTGACCTGGGGTCAATGACCTCTTGACCTTTTCTCTCTTCCTCTTCCTTTCTCTCTCTTCCTCTTCCTTTCTCTCTCTTCCTCTTCCTCTCTCTCTTCCTCTCTCTCTCTCTCTCTCTCTTCCTCTCCCTCTCTCTCTCTCTTCCTCTTGGCCTGGGGTCAATGACCCCGGGTAAGGGGGTCATTGACCTTTTCTCTCTCTCTCTTTCCCTCTCTCTTCCTCTTCCTCTCTCTCTCTCTTCCTCTTCATCTTTTCCTCTTCCTCTCTCTCTCTCTTCCTCTTCATCTTCCTCTTTTCCTCTTCCTCTCTCTCTCTCTCTTCCTCTTCCTCTCTCTCTCTTCCTCTCTCTCTCCCTCTTCCTCTCTCCCTCTTCCTCTCTCTCTCTTCCTCTCTCTCTCTCTTCCTCTCTCTCTCTCTCTTCCTCTTCCTCTCTCTCTCTTCCTCTCTTCCTCATCCACTCTCTATCTTCCTCTTCCTCTCTCTCTGTCTCTTCCTCTTTCTCTGCCCCTTTGTCTCTATCTTCCTTTTTCTCTGCCCCTTTGTCTCTCTCTTCCTCTTTCTCTGCCCCTTTGTCTCTCTCTTCCTCTTTCTCTGCCCCTTTGTCTCTCTCTTCCTCTTTCTCTCCCCCTTTGTCACTCTCTTCCTCTTTCTCTCCCCCTTTGTCTCTCTCTCTCTTCCTGGGGTCAATGACCCCAGGTCAAGAGGTCATTGACCTTTTCTCTCTCTCTTCTTCTTCTCTCTCTCTTCCTCTTTGTACCCTCTCATCCTCGTTCTTCCCCTCTCTTTCTCTATCTCTTCCTGGGGTCAATGACCCCAGGTCAAAAGGTCATTGACCCCCGGTCAAGAGGTCATTGACCTTTTCTCTGTCTCTCTTCTTCTTCTCTCTCTCTCTCTCTCTTCCTCTCCTTTTCTTCCTCCCTCTCTCTCTCTATTTCTCTCTCTCTCTCTCTTCCTGGTTATTGACCCCAGGACAAGAGGTCATTGACCCCAGGTCAAGAGGTCATTGACCCCATGTCAAGAGGTCACTGACCCCAGGTCAAGAGGTCATTGACCTTTTCTCTCTCTCTTCCACTCTCTCTCTCTGGCTTTAAGGTTATTCTAATATTATTGGTAAATGGTTGATGAAAAGTACTGATGCAATTATGGAAACTGTTGAAAAAAATTAAAATTAGTTAATATTTAAAAAAAATTATGCCCTACACAAGGGGTAGGCACAGAGCCTCAAAAAAATTTTTGTGACTTTGTGTTGTAAAATAACAAAATATTTAAATTTTAAAATAACAAAAATATTAAAATAACAAAACATTGACCTGGGATCATTGACCCCAGGAAGATAGAGAGAGAGAGGAAGAGAGAGGGAAAGGGGGAGAGAAAGATGAAGATAGAGAGAGGAAGGGGAAGAGAGAGAGAGAGAGAATAAGAGGAAAAGAGAGAGAGAGAGGAAGAGGAAGAGAGAGAGAGGAAGAGGAAGAGAGAGATAAAGAGGAAGAGAGAGAGAGAGAGAAAAGGTGGTCAATGACCCCCTGACCTGGGGGGTCAATGACCTCTTGACCTGGGGTCAATGACCCCTTGGCCTGGGGTCAATGACCCTTTCTCTCTCTTCCTCTCTCTCTCTTCCTCTCTCTCTCTTCCTCTCTCTCTCTTCCTCTCTCTCTCTCTTCCTCTCTCGCTCTCTCTTCCTCTCTCTCTCTCTCTTCCTCTTCCTCTCTCAATCACCTTTTGACCTGGGGTCAATGACTAGGAAGAGAGAGAGAGAGAGAGAGAGGAAGACAGAGAGAGAAGGAAAGAGGAGGAGGAAGAGAGAGAAAGGGTCATTGACCCCAGGCCAAGAGGTCATTGACCTTCTCTCTCTCTCTCTCACTCTTCTCTTCCCCTCTCTCTCTTCCTGGGGTCATTGAAAAGGTCGTTGACTCCCGGTCAAGAGGTCATTGACCTTTTCTCTCTCCCTCTCTCTCTTCTTTTTCTCTCTCCTCCTCTCTCTCTCTTCCTCTTTCGTTCTCTCTCTCTTCCTCTTTCGTTCTCTCTCTCTTCCTCTTTCGTTCTCTCTCTCTCTTCCTCTTTCGTTCTCTCTCTCTCTTTCTTCCTCGTTATCTCCCCCTTTCTCTCTGTCTCTCTCTTCCTGGGGTCAATGACCCCAGGTCAAGAGGTCATTGACCTTTTCTCTCTCGTCTTCTCTCTTCCCATCTCTCTCTTCCTCTCTCTTCCCCTCTCTCTCTTCCTCTCTCCTCCTGGGGTCAGTGACCCCAGGTCAAGAGGTCATTGACCCCAAGTCAAGAGGTCATTGACCCCAAGTGAAAAAAATAAAATTAGTTTATATTTAAAAAAAATTATGAATATATATACTTTATGGGGTCTACGACGAATATTTAAGGATGCTACAAACGGAATAACAAAGTTAATATACCTTCCTTTCCAAGATGGAGGGTATAAAAATCACATAAATATAAGTGTCAGAAGTGTATTTTTATACCCTACACCATACTATGGAGGGTATATTAACTTTGTCATTCCGTTTGTAACGAAATACTCATGTCAGACCCAAAAAAGTATATATTCTTGATCAGCGTAAAATTCTATTTCGATTTAGCAATGTCCGCCTGTCTGTCTGTTGTAATCACGCTATCTTTCGAACGATTTGAGATTGAAGGCTAAAATTTTGCACACATGTTTAGTTTTCCAGTAGGCAGGTTTAGTTCGTAAATGGGCCATGTAGGTCCACGCTTTCATATAGTCCCCATATAACGGTACCTGCCGATATTCGGTATTTTGATGATTTTAGCGACATTACTCACCGGAATTGTTTCAAATTTTGTATTTGAAGTACGAAATGGATACTACACCCTAAGACAGAAAATTGTCTGCGCAGGTCCACGTCTTCGTATAGCCCCCATATAACGGTATACCCGATATATGTACGTTATTTTGATGATTTTAGCGACATTATTTACCGAAATTATTTCAAATTTTGTATTTGAAGTTCGTAGTGAATACTACAATCTATGCAAGAAAATTGTCTGTTCAGACTTATGACAAAATTTGCATATGCAGGTCCACGTCGTCGTATAGACCCTAATATACGGCTAAATTCGGTATTTTTAAATTTTAACTGAAATTTTTAGTGGATTTTAATTTTTTGAAAATTGCCAAATTTGTACCAAATGGTGGAGGGTATTCAAAGTTCAGCCCTGCCGAACATACAGCTTTTTTACTTGTTTTGGTATATCCTACTCCCCAGAGAAGTAAATATTAGAATTAAGATATAAGCGTTTGTATCGTGTCTATTTTAACCACACTTGTTTGTCCTAGTCTTAATCAGATCTCCAATGAACTGAACCTTAACGGCAACCTATTCACATCCTAAACATACCGCCCAAACACCATCTGTTTTCTGTTTCATGTAACTCTCAATTTGGTTGAGTCAAAGTATTTCTTCCACAAATTAACTCCGCCAATGATCCATTCATTATGGACATTAAACGTTCTAAAATATTCCCTAATCATCACGTTTTAAGCACCATACATTTCAATATAACGAACAACAACAACAACCACAAAAAATTAATATATACAGATGTTCTTTTTTTTCTTTGTATGCCCTTTTTACCCTCCGACACACATGAATGTAAGTGTGTGTGTACATAACAAAGTTCCTTTTTATGGCCATTGCATGTTCATTTTATGGTCTGGTTGCCTTTGATATTTGCAACGATTGTGTCGTTAATTTATCAACATCAAAATGCTCGAGATGATGTGCATAAATGTGGCAATAAACACATTATGTGCATATGTATGTATACGTTTGGTAAACAAACAAAGAGAGTGAACACACAGACAAATTAACATATACAAGTGCATGTATGTATGTACGTGTGCTCCTCATAAATAGCAAATATCAATGATAGGCCCACAAAGTGAAAGGTATAACAAGTTGTAGGGCAAAAAAGTTAAACCATTGGAAAGAGTTGAAGGGAGAGGGGGTGTAAGGTGCAAGGGGAGCAATGCAATCATCAGATAACGTAGTATGAGAACATTTTTGTGACATCAGCAAAACCCCTTTCGCCTAATGAAAGCCTCTGTCTGCTAGGCTGCCGTATTTCACTGAAAAAATAAATTAAAGCCATATCAACAATGAATGGAAAATCTATGCTGCAGCACCAGCAGCGTATCCATATTCAGCAGAATGCAGTTCCTTTAACTGAAAGACTGATGATGACAAGTGAATATCAAAGAAAAAAACGTTTGTATATTTGATGGGTTTTTTTATTTGGATGATGGATTTTTTTATACTCTAGGATCAGTTAGGTAAAATTATACCTTAAAAACTATGGAATGTTGAATTTTTTAAAAACAAGTAAAAAAGTATCGGTCGGTTTTGCCGACATATATATACCCTCAGCCAATGTTCGATTATTAAACATATTTTGACTTCTGTTATGATTATTCA